AGCTCAGCACTTAGGTCTCCAAAAGCCAGAACCTATTCTTTGATCTGCCATTCATTCATGAATTCCATAAACATTTACTGAGCACTTACTATGATAATAGATTGGTGAAAAAAAATGTCCATGTCCTCTGCCCTAAAGACGCTCCCAGGCTACTCTGGGGTCTGGGCCAGTGAGCAGACAATTACAGCGTGATGAATGCCCTGATGAGGGAAGTCCAGGATATTAGGGGAGAATATTGGTGAACTCCGCCTAATTCAGCCTTGGCTGGTTAAAGAAGCCTTCTTTGGAGGAAGTTCTGTCGCCTGAAGGAGAAGCAGAAGCCAGTTTGGTGTTGGAAGAGGTTGGCGGAGAAAGAATGTTCTAGGCAGAAGTAGGACTACAGATTATTTTAATTTTCTTCTTTGTGCTTAGCAGTGTTTTACAAACGTTCTTCAGTGGACATACATTGCATTTATATAGAAAGAATTTTAAAATAGAAGGACAGCAATGGCCCTCCTTTAATCAGTGAGCACCAATGAGAACTTCCTTGGGTCTGTGACACACTGACAGAGAGAGAAGGGAACACTGCAGTCACGACTACTACTAACAGCAACAAAAATATTTCTTGAGTGCTTACTACATGTCAGCGTTTCCCATGTACCTCATTTAATCCTTACAATAATCCTACATGATTGGTACTACCATTATCATCTCCATTTTATGGTTGAGGAAACTGAGGCCCAGTGGTCACACAATTAGTAAGTGGTAGAGGCAGGAATCAAATCGAGGCAGTCCAATGCCAGAGCCCTGGCTCTAACTACTACACTATTCTGCCCCTCTTTAAATGATTAAAGCAATACACACAAGAGCCCAACTAGTGTTTTAACTTCGCCCTCTTCTAAGAAGCAACTTCTTGCCATCAGCTGATTATGCCCCTCTCTCCTCCAAGTCCGAGGGGCGGGGCAGGGGAGAGTCTTCATTTGTCTGTGAAGCGAGAGATAAGATGTACGAAGAACATGAAGTGACTTTCCTAAGGTTGCATGATCCTCTGATTGCTGAATGGGTTCCAGAAATCCACTTCAGCATCACAACTTCTGGGCCCCCCTTGGCTCTGGCCGCACGAGGAATGCTTATGCTGTGGCAAGTTTCCAACCTTCAAAACACTGACGTAAGTCTGAATGGTTTATTAAAATTCCCTTCTATTAATGGTGGTGTTCTGGGCTACAATTCCTATGTTGACCACGTGGTGATGCTGCAGGCAGATCTAGGGATTTGGGATTTGAGGAGGGGTTTAAGAATCTTTCTATGTCTATGAAGTGTGGTCCAGTCACACAAGGACAGGTTACGCAGCCATTTAAAAGAATGAGGTAAAGCCACCTGACTTTCAAGGAACATCTTCAAGATACGCCACTAAGTGAGAAAAGCAAATCACTAAACAATGTATACAGCATGCTCATATTTGTCTAATTAAAAAAAAGAATATAAATATATATTTATATTTATGTATATAGGTACATGCATAGTTTTTTTCCTGAGAGTATAAAAACAGAGGCTGTTAGCGTTATTACTTTGAGGAGTCGGACTGGGATCCAGGGGAGGGGAAAGGGGTTTCCTTTCCATTTTATACTTTTTTAAATTGATGTTTTTAATAATTTGCATTCATTAATTTAGAGATCACTATTGCAAAAACAATCCAATTGCTGTAAAAATTTAAACCCTGTAGAAGTTAACAAAAGTCCCTTCTCCTCCACCCCTTAGTGCCATTCCCCGGAGGACGAGTAACCACGGATACAAGTTTGGGACTTTGTTACTCAGATTGTGGTTTCCAGAAGAGCAGCATCAGGACCATCTGGGAAGTTGCTAGAAATGCAGATTCTCGTGCCCCACCTCAGACCTGCTCAAACTCCATAGTGGGGCCCAGTAATCTGTGTTTTAAAAAGCCCTTTTGGCTATTTGGATGCATGCTCAAAGTTGAGAACCATTCCATTTTAGCAGGTTAGACCAGATCTTATGGGTGGTGGTTGAGACGAATCCTGCTGGGGAAAACTATAACTCAAAATGGCCCGTCTCCATTCACCCAGTGAGCCCTAGCTCAAGGGTTGGCAGCCCCTGGAGCCCACTGTGACCTCTCTTTTGAGGTTGAGCATCACAGTTTGGAGGCATTACCCAGAAAAGGTGGAAAAGGCTAGAGAGAGAAGAGTATAGGAGAGGAGTGCAGGAGAAACCAAAAGGAGAGTGAGTAGGGAAAGGAATAATGGCAGAGAGAGAATGCAAATTAAAAAATAATCATATGATGGCAAGTAGATGACAGTAATACCTCAGGGTACTCATTCATTTATTTAATAAGCATTTATGTCCATTTCCTTCCTTTGACCCACACATTTCATTGTCTATCATTTACGAAGTCTGATCGGGTCGTTATTCCTCACACCACTCAGTGTGTCCACGTCTAGGGAAGTTTTTGCCAGTGATTCCCTGCTCCCTGGCCAAAAAGTCATGAGCTCTCAAAGCTTCTCAAAAGAATTATAATCTACCTATGGTGGTAGGGACCTGGGGGCTAGGGGTGGGGTGGGGGGGTGACTGAGGAGTTTTGCACACTGGGGAGGTATGAGGAGGTACGGTAGGAGAGGAAGTGCACAGAAAAGCACACTGGATGCAGCAGTATCAACAATCAAGTCAACAGACGTGAAGCTCAGCTCAGAGGGGAGCTCACAGAGTTCCTCAAACGCCGCCCTAGTCCCACATACAGATGTGCGTCTACCGCAGAAGAGCCTGGTGCAAGCTCCTACAGCTGGGCTGAGGTAATGGGAGACAGTGTGTACAAAAGACAGTAGTTCTCACAGTGTTTAGGGGAAAACAGTAAACTACTGTGAGTATGGAAGCTCAGACCAAACCAAGGTTTGAGAATTTTTACTATTTATTCTGACAAAGTACTCACCATTTACCTACCACTTCCAAAACATGGTTCTGTCTAAGGAAGATCCCTGTCCCGGTCAAGAAACCAGATTTATTTTTGTCAGGGGAAAAGGCTGTGATGGGGGATTTAGCTTATAAGGCTACTCATATCTTACTGTGCTCCAGTTTTTTATTTGATGACATCTGCAAGAGGTTAAGGGCAACAATTTACTAAATCTGATATTTGACTAATTAGCATTTACTTTACAGAATCCTAGAACTGTAAAGCAGGGGCCACCTTAGAGATCGTCTCTGGCCCATTAATGTTGCCTTGGGGAGTTTTGAGAAAATACTATGCCTGCGGCCCACTGCATACCAACTGAATCAGAATCTCAAGGGGTGGGACCAAGGGGCACCTCTAGTTTTAAAGCCCTACAATGATTCCAATATATAGCCAGGATTGAGAAACAGCTCTAGTCTCACTATGTTATTTTACAGATAAAGATACAGAAGCTCAAAGAGATGAAGCTACTCACCCAAGGCCACGCAGCTAGTAAGTGGCGTCTCACACCCAGCTCTTCTGACTGCCAGTCGGATGTTCTTTCTACTCTGCTCTTTCGTCTCTTCTTCTAGAATTTAGCGTTTTGCTGAACATTAAAGTTATGCAATTTACAGTTGAGGGAGAAGGGACAGAGCCCATCAGTAAGGATTGGCGGGCCGACTCCTGAGCGCTCAATTTAATCATGGGTTCTCCAGGACATAGCTCCTGCCAAGTCTTGTTGATGGTGGGGCAGTCAAACGACCTTCTCTTGCTAAAGGCAGTGCCTAATGCTGTTGTGTATATTAGTTCCTCATAGAGCAAGTCACTTGCTCATGACTCAGTTTCACCCATGAAGGAAGACATTCGTCAATAAGTGTTCTCACTTTCAGGAATTAATCACATTAAAGCAAATAATAGTGAGGGTAGATCAGTGGTTCTTAACATTTGAGCCATGGAGGGTGTTAGAGGGAGGAGTCACAGGTCCTGTTAGAACTGGTAAAATCTATAAACTTCCCCAGAAAAATACACATACATAAATGTTGCATGTACTTTGTGAGGATTCACAGACATCACCCCCCAAGTTCATCTACTGACACCAGATTAAGATCAGGACTAGATGATTTTGAAACTCTATTTTAGTGTTTCTCAAAGTGTAGTGCAGGGACCATAGGAATCAGAATCACTCGGGGTGCTTGTTTTAAAAAAAAGCAGATTCCTAGGACTGCCACCGACCTACCATTTCCAAATCTATGGAGAATGAGGTGCAGGAATCTGTATGTTATTAAAAATCCCCAGATGCTTCTTTTAGAAACCGGCATTTGAGAATCAGTGCTTTATCCCAGTTTGAGATTTTTATAATTTTTGAATGCTTTCATTTGTTGAATATTTTAGGTTTCATCTGTTCAACTGTCAAGTATGCCAAATAGTATGTTTAGTATGAACTCATTAAAGAATGTTTACATGTGTATATACATAGGAAAAACAACTAGAAGGGTGAATGGATGGGTAGATAATGTTTCTCTCTAGGAATATGGACGATCTTTATTTTTTTCCCTTTATCCTTCTATTTTATTTCTCTTTCTCATTTGTTTTTCTTTCTGTGTTTAAAGAAGACTTCCTCTTTCTGAGTTCAATTTCGCCATCTGAAAAACAGGGTGTTGTAACTAGATGAACTTCAAGGCCACATCCTGCTCTGGCAGTCAGCGACTCTATACTACCCTCTAGCTCCTTTGTCCATTTCATTGCATGAACTGCATAGGTAATAATAGTGTTTGGCGAATAATCATGTATTGTTTTCGTATGTATTATGTTGTGATGCCTAGCAACCATTTTTACTCCAACAAAATTATTCTCTTCTTCCTCAAGGAGTCGGAACTGAAATAATCTCTACTGTCTACACCCCCCCCCCCCCCAAATTCATCCTGTCTCTGTTGCCTTAGAAAAGGCCGTCCGCGCTTCTCTCTTAGGAGCATAAGAACGAATGTGAACCAAAAAGCCAGGGCGTGGTCTCCCCGCCCACCGAGCCTTACAGCACCACCCCTCTCGCCGCTTTCGAGCGCAGAGATTGGCTGAAGACAAGAAAGAGCCACGCCCCTAGTCTTGTGACCCGCACTGGAGCGCCTAGTCCTGGCTTCTGCAGCGTTGTGGTCGGTGGTCAGTGGCCGTCTTTCCTCAGTTCCGGCGAGCCTTTTTCCTGGTGTTGCTGCTCTCGTTGCTGTTGCAGTTGCCGTCGCAGTCGCTGCCGTCACCGCCGCCGCCACAACCACCGCCACCGCCACCTCCTGATCTGCGGGATCATGGTGTGCTTCCGCCTCTCCCCGGTTCCGGGCTCGGGGCTCGTTTTGCTCTGCCTCGTCCTGGGTGAGTTGTCGGGCCCTCCTGCCTAGTCCCCCAGCCTGGGCCCGAGGGCGCCTAGTTCAAAGGCCACAACCTGAAAGACTGGTCCGGGGGGAGGGGTTGAGAGGCTGAACGACTGACACTGGGCGGCGGCGCTTGGCCCCGGGAGGCGAGCAGTGACCTAGAGAAGGCCTGACCAAGGGCTGGCGGGGAAGAAGGGCCCGTGAGAGTAGGAATGGGCTGGTAAGGGGGGTGGTCGCCGAGGGAGTAGGTAGGGAAGAATGAGGAGTGGAGCAGATCCGGGTAGAAAGAGTAACTTGGGAAAGATACTAAGCAGTGAGCGTAGGAGGACAGTACGTGCAGATTCTGGGGTGGCAGAGACAATTAGGAGAGTCCTGGTTTCCTATGATCACGGAATAGTTTTGAAGATGGTGGAAAACTGTGGGGCCAGAGAGAAAATTGGGAAGGGAAATGAGACTGTGCATGCATGGAGAAGCTCGAGGGAAGGGAGGGGCGGATATGATAGTAGAGTCTGAGGGGCAGTGAGAGGGTTGGGGGCTTTTGTGGGTAGGAATTTGAGGCTGTGGAGGAAGGGTGATCAAAGAGATGAGGAATGATGCTGGATTTGAGTTGGGTAGTTGGAGTTTTGAGGGAGAAGAGACTTAAGGTGGCTGTGGCAATTTCCAGGCGAGAAAACTCGGACCCAATCTCTGGAGACTGAAGGGATCAGTGGGAACTTTGGTGGGGAGTGAATATCTGCCTTGGAGGTGTTGAAGATGGTGGTATTCTTCCAATTTTGTTGCTTCCTCCCAGCCAGACCCTGACAAAAAAATCCCCAGATGCTTCGGTTGGGCGGGCCTCCCAGATTTGAGGTTTGGAGGGTGCTATATCTGTCTTGTATATTGCCTCTTGGCCCTCAGAAGCTCCTTTTATTCTTCCGTATCACACAACTGGCCTATTATCTCGTTTTTGGAGGCGGAGGGTAGGTAACGGCCTAAGGATTGGGTTGTTTCCAGGTCCTAAGAACTGGCTCCTTGCGCTTTGCCTCCTGCCACCCCCTCCCCCGCATGAGCAGTGGTTCCCTGCGGGCTTTAATGCCTGAAGGGTGAACTTTGATCAGAAAGTCTCTTCTTGACTTGATTCCTCCTATGCGTGTCGATGCCCACCCACACTGGCACTTGGAGTTTGTGACCTAGTAAAAGAACAGAAGGAACAAACCAAATGGAGTGGAGAGGAAATAGATGTTTTAGGGATCTGAGAAGGCAGTGAGAGGTGCACGTTTTGTAATTCACATTTCAGTAGGACACAATCAGCACCTTAGGACAGTGGATTCTCAACCAGGGGGCATTTGGCAATATCTGGATGCATTTTTGGTTGTCACAACTGGGGATTGCTTTTGACATCTAGTGAGTGGAGGCTAGAGATGCTCCTGAACATCCAACAATGCAAAGAGCAGCACTCTCCCCACCCCCAACATACAGCAAAGAATTATCCACCTCAGAATGTCAGTAGTGCCAAAGTTGAGAAATCTTGCTCCAGAGCCATGGCGTTGGAAGGGTTCTTGATGTAATCTAGTGATTCTCAAGGATCTTTTCTGGGAGTCTGTCAGATGAAAACTATTTCCAAAATACTATTAAGAAGTTACCTGTCCTTTTCACTCTCATCCTCTCACCAGTGTACAGTGGAGTTTTCCAGAGGCTACATAATGTGTGATGACATCATCACTCTCATGGCTCTGATGTTGTGTTTTATTCACTTCTCAGCTTTAATTTCTGATATGGCAAATACCAATAGATAGAACTTACATAAACCAAAGCTCTCCGAGGTTCTCAGTGGATGAGTAAAGGGCTCCTGACAGCAAAACATTTGCGATTCCCTGATCTCGTGCAGCTGTCCACACGGTGCCGGAAACTTCTGTAGCCCTTCTGAAAGGGGGCCATGGAGGCGATGCTCAAGCACAACTGGAAGCTTTAGCGCTGCCGTGAAGCTCTTCCTGAGGGCCGAGCCACCCTAAGAGAGCATTGTTTGCAACGAAAAGCACCTTATCAGTGACTCGAACACATCTGACCAACACATCTGTTAATCAGTAGTTCACTGCCAGTTGAATCTGCACAAACACAACAGTGTTATTGTTTAGAGAAAGTGAAAAAAAATAATAGTTGTCCTACTTGTTGGCTTTCGTGTCATTAAGTTTTTTTTGTTTTTGAATGAAAGCTTTTTTTGTTTTGTTTTTACAAAAGCAATGCTTGCTCATTGCAGAAAATAAACAGGCAAAAAGCACATAAAAGAATCCGTCGGCTCATCTGCTAGTTTGCCATTTATTGGTTGGGACTAACTAGATTCATGCGCTTGGAAGATTTCCAGGATTGATTCTCTCCACTTACAAGTTCAGAACAGGATTTGGAGGAGCAAAAGTTAATAATGTACGTAGATCAGATTTTTAAAAGGAACCAGGGTAAAATAGAAACCGTCTCTTCCACGCAGCTGCTTTTTCTGACAGCTGTTGGTTCAGTCTGGAGCTCAGGCTCCTTCCGTGGCCTTCTCTATAAGAATTGAGCGGGTCTTTAACTGCCTGGTAGATTTTGCACGTTACTTTTATATATCAAAATGGATACCAAGAGTAGGTGTTTGAAAACTTAATACATATTTGTAAAGCACCTCTTATGAATCTCGTGCTTTTCCTGGGTACTCTGGAGGGTACCAGTGAAGAAGGATCTGTCTTGAATTTATGGTCTGGTTAAGATGAGCGCTCTGGCGGTGCCAGTTTCACTTTGTAACTGTCTGTCTCTAGCCCAGCTCCAGCGGTAACTTTTTAAAAATAGCTGCTTTAGAGTAAGTATAGAAAAGAGTTCTTGGAGTCTATGTATTGGTCTTTTTCTCAGAGATTAAATTATGCTGATATTTACTTGAATGAATTATAACTGACTAGAGAACTTTCTGGAGAAAAGCTGTGTGATTTTTTTCTGAAGAAAAGCCATATAGAGGCATTATAAAGAGAGTGGTCAATGAAAATCCTTTCCTAGTGTTATTGCCTCACTGTGTTCCCTTTGTGATAATCATAGATTTCAGAATTCTTCTATGGTTATTGATTTTTTTTTTTGTGGGAAAGATTAGCCCGGAGCTAACATCCGCGGCCAGTCTCCCTCTTTTTGCTGGGGAAGATTGGCACCGAGCTAACATCTGTGCCTATCTTCCTCTATTTTGTACATGGGACTCCTGCCACAGCATGGCTTGATAAGCGATGTGTAGGTCCACACCCAGGATCCAAACCGGCAAACCCTGGGCCGCTGAAGCGGGGTGCACAAACTTAACCGCTGCGCCAGTGGGCCAGTCCCTGGCTATTGATTCTTATAACTAATTTGACTTCTGGTTTTTATAGAGTTAAGGCTTTTCTGTGTGGGAAAAAACCCATATAAATATCCTGAGTGTGTGCTTCACTGGTTGGAGCCCCTCCCTCCCACAAAGTTTTATTAAATGCCTGTTGTGTCCTAGCCACTACACTAGGTGAACTGGATAGATGGAGCAATGGATAAGACAGATGAGGGCCCTCCTCTCATGGAGCTTACATTTTAGTAGAAGACAGCCCCACAGGTAAATAATATAATTTCAGATAGTGATAAGCACTGTGAAGAAAATGAAGCAGGTAATGAGGAAGAAGAATGAGCAGATGATAAGAGTGGGTGAGAGGGGATGACCCTTGACAAATAAAAATGGCAAGCAATAGGATATATTGGAGTATCTGAGGAAGCCATTTGGTATAAACCTAATTCAGCCTGACTTTGCTTTTTCCAAAAGGGCTTGACTGTGGCCGAGGAGCATGCATTGTATATACATTTCCTATGGCAAGAATAAAGGCCCTTGAGATAAAGGTGCAACTTCCCTCCCCCTCCCAGCATCGGCATTTCCTTAAAGATTACGCATCTTTCCTTAGGCTAGGAGCTGATTGCAGCGCTCACCTGTGACCACTCAGCTGGAGACAACTGACCTGCCATCCTGCTGTGTTCACAGAGACGGCAGACCTACCTGCTGTTTCCATCAATCGCTGTGCCGACAGAGCATTCTCACGACTATTGTAAAAGGGCCATTCAATCCTGTGTGAAACATCCTGTTTGGGGGTATATAACCACTCTGCACCCCACTTCCTTGGTGTTCTTTCTTCCTTCAGGAAGAAAGGCCCTGGGCCATGGTCCTCAGATTTCAGCTCAGAATAAACTCACCCAAATTTTCATTTATAGATTGGTTATGGGTTATTTTCGTCCACACCCTCCTTTACAGTATGTAGTCGGAAGGCCTTCTCCTGTTGTGGGACGTTTGAGCAGAGACCCGAGGGGTGGAGGAAGGAAGCCAGCCAGGTGACCATCTGGAGGAATAGGAGTCAATCTTGTCTTTCCCAAACTCTTAGGTTATTAGGCTAGCCTGTTTTCCACTCTTTTTTTTCCCTTCCAGTACTAGTCAAGCCTCCCTTATGGTATTAGTCTTTGAGAGCGGAGACTATCTTGTGTACTATTTCCCATTGCCTGCCTACCGCAGGGCCTAGTAGATGGTTAACCCTCAGTAAATTTTTGTTGAGGGTGTACACTGGTGGGCATTGGGGACATGATGGTGAACTAGACCAACTTGGTCTCCTTATTCTTCTGTGAACCTTAAATTATGTTTTGCAAGAAGTTTTTTGTGTCTTTGGCTTGAGAACTTCAAGGTTGGTGCTAAGCAGTACAGATAATTATAAACCAATTTACTAAAGTATAATGTCATATAATAATGCTAGTATCTTGCCTTTGTACCCTTTCAGATATACCAACATAGTAGTGAAGGTTCACATGGAAGACTAGGAAGTCCTTGATGAGAAAGAGAATAAGGTTGTCATAAAGCATCAATGTCTCCTTTTGGAGGTGGTGTAAAAGAGAGAAAATGTGCATTGAGATTTTTCTGTGGCCTTACCACATTTTGTTAAAGTGATAGCTTTGATTCCAAAGTTCTAAAATTATTCTAGCTATAATAGAGATACTTGAAAGGACAGGCTTATT